ACATAGCAGGAGCTCGAAACATATACGAGAATGGATAATATATAAGGTTTAAGAAAGTTGCTGCATAAAGATCAGCATACCTTACAACTTGACTACTGAAAAAGGTTTGTCTACTCCCGCTACGAAATAATGAACCCATCATTCCGTAAGCTAAATCCATTTTGTGAGTAACATCTCTTATAGATGTTCGTAACTTGGAAATATCTGGTTTTTCTTTTGTACTACTATCTAAATTTCTATAGAAGAAAAATATTATTCATAAAAGTTATTATTAATCTTTAATAATAATTTTTTTCTTACTTGTACATTTCGCCTAACATAACATCTAAATTTTGTAACTCGGCAAATAATTGACATTTATCGGTCCAAACGTGAAGTTCTTGTACAAGTTCAGGTACTACTAAAAATGTTCTCCATCCTCTAATCTTTTTACTTTTTAAGATATCACCGAAAATATGATCACCAATATATAATACGTCTTTGCCTTTTGCACCTATTAATTCGGTGAATACATCACATGAACCTCCTGAATAAACTTCTCCTATAAAAGAAATAAAGATAAAATCCATATTTTATTACGATCTTATGTTAAAACATAATATTAATTTTATTACAATATATAAACAATATATTAAAACTTTAAATTTACCTGTATGGAGTGGACCTTTGTGCGTGCCAAGTTTTAGGGCTCCAGTTTTAGTATCTACTTGTCGCAAAATTGTACCTTCACCAAAAAATAGTGGTTTCCTAGCATCTACTACTATAGTATCAAAATATGTTTTCCAATTTCTATGAGGTTCATCAGGCTTAAAAACGAAAGATATATCTCATTCATTTCTATCTCTATTATCTATTAAAAAATAGATTTTTTATATTTTATATTAAAATGTATACCTTTGCACCATGTGGAAAATCGAAGAGATAAGTCATAATTTTATTAGTAAAAACATACTCGCTATTTGTTAAGAGAAATATTTTTGCCCCGCTTTCTCTAATCCTATTAAGAAACATTGGTAGTCTCCTGTCTTTCTTCACATATAGATCTAAATTTTCCATTGTTTTTGTTTTTAAATTACCGTGAAGATGTATCCAATCTACAGCATTTCGAACATCTTGGAATATACTTTTGAAAGTCATCGTAAGTTCTCCTTCTTTTACCCCTGTTCTATCTGGTATGTATTGCCGCGAATTCGTAAAAAAGTCTATCAAACATGCTAATAAATATGATTCGGGAAGATTGAATAACGTATTGAGCACATATACTCTAGATTCATCTAATTGTAAAAATTTATTCGGATAAAGCTCATATACTTGTGAACTGGAACATAGAAAAAAACATTTTAAATATTCTTAAAATTTAGAAATAAGATAATTGATATATATTCAAAATGTTATTCTTACTGTTTCAAAAATTCGAAACCGTGAACGCAAACTAAAATATTTCCATAAGCATCCACTTTAAGAAGATTTCCATAAAGACTATCAAACCATAGTCCTCGTACCGGAAAACTAGGATCATATTCAAATGCTTTAATTTCTTCTGGATATCCCAGAGATACTAGACGATCTTTCAACAATGTGAAACCCAATTGTTCGTATTCAGGTGATTTATATTCTAAAATACATTATGCAATTTTTTTTATTAAATTATAGAAAAATATTAATATGCTATTTACACACTTCACATTATCATAATTAAATATTATTTACCTGCCAAAGTATAATCCATGTCGAAGCCATAAAACTTGATATTTTCTAAATGAAGACTACGATTCACAAAAATTCTGTAACAGAAGTAAATGATAATAAATTTTAATTATTTGTTTCTCTATTTTTACACAATTATATTTACAACAAAATATAAACAATCAATTAAAAGTATTTATTTTTAAAAATATAAAAAATATATTTTATATTAATTTTTTATAAAAATTATTTATTAATTAATAGAAAAATAAAAGTTTTTTCATGTAAAATATATAAGAAACTAATTTTTTTATTAAAAATCGAATTTTTTAAGACTGCGTTTGTTAGTATATCTATGATTACCTGTTTATCGCAATTTCTCGAGCTTTAAGCAATATTTCTGGAATCTCTCCTTCAAAAAATAGTATCTTTATTATATCGCGTGGTATCTTTATTATATCAGAATCGCTAATTTTTATTATATCTTTTAAATTCATATCCATATCATTCATATCTTTTTTTTCAAATAAAAATTTTTATATATTATAATAAAATATTTTGTATTTTTAAACAAAATTATATTTAAAGTTTAAATAAGAATATATATTTAAAGGTTAAGAATATTTTATTTCAATTGTTATTGTTATTGCAAATATTTTTTATTTAAAATAAAAAAAGTTCTTCATTGATTATTTTATTATTTAGTATTTTGCATATCTTATTAAATCTTTCTATTTTTTTTATACTTTGACGTATTTGGTTTATTTTTATTGTAAATATTATAAATATTGTAATTACTTTAAATATTTTTTTTATATAAAATGTAAATGAAAGTATAATGTTGCCTATATATAACTATAATCTTTTTAAAAAAAAATATGTTTATGTCAGAATATATGTTTATGTCAGTATATAAAGTATATATATAAAATTTAGAATTTAAAATTTTAGAATTCAAAAAATTCAAAATTTATATATTACATTTTAAGAAAATAATATTTGTATATAAAATTTATAAAAATATCAATAATATATATAAAAATAGATAAAAATAGATAACATACATTATGTTGAATAAATAAGACAGGAAAAGATTTATTATACCCATCAGTTTCATTTATGAAAAGAATGATAGATGTTATCCGGTCAATAATCGCATCAATTTATATCAGATTCATAATTTCAACAACTTTGCACATTTAATCAAAATGAATGATAAATTATTAATGCAACAAAAAAAATTGAAATATTAGTTTCAGCATTTTTTATATTATGAAAAATATGTATTGATAAATCAATTTTTTAAAATTTGATTACACAGAATATTTTTAATAGTAGAGAGATGCAACAATATTATCCATGGATCTAAAATTGATTAGATCGAATGTTGCTATTGATTCTTATAGATATCGATATTAATTCCTGAATATTAAATATTAACTGATTTACTTCTAATTATTGAATTTTC